ATCAAAGCCTCACAAAGTAATCAAATATGTCCCCAAACAACGATCTGAAATGTCCTTCCCACAACGAGCCGAAACAAAGAAACCGGCCGCACTGCAAACGCGCTCCCAACAAACTTTATACACGCGCACCAACTCCCAACACAAATCTTACCTATCCCTTGCTGTATCACAGATAAAAGAAGTGGACGAGCCCCCATCTGTCATGGCCTGGCTCTTGGCCATAACAAAAAGCGTGGGAAGGACAAGAACATATATGAAAAATATATTTATTAACAAAAGTTTAACGTAAACCAAGAAAAACTAACACAAAGGAAAAAGCAAAAAGGCTAAGCGACGTGGCTGCTCCGCAGTCAGGTCCTCTGCGGGAGAGAGAGATCGAGAGTCTGCTCAGGCCTTTCAATCCTCTGGTGCCAGCAGACAGGTGTCCTCAATCAGCGCTGACACAACAGAGGGAGAACATTAAAGGGCCATGCACACACACACCACAGGAGACAGTAAAGCAGGGGTCGTCAGGAGACCATCACCATAGGTGCATGTCTATCAGGGTGGGGTGCAGTGCAGCAGGGCAGGACTGTTCAGGGCCAGTGGTCTGCCCAGGAGGGTGCACGCCATGTCAACGTGCTAGAGCTTCGGGCTGTGCAGCTTGCACTCACGCACTTTCTACCCCAACTGGGGGGCAAGCATGTGCTTGTTCCTTGGGACAGCATGTACACTGTTGCCCAGACAGCGGTCCCTTCTAGATAGTGGACGTTCTCACTCCACTCAGAGTTTATGTGGCTGCTATTTGTGCCCGACATGTTCGGATCGACGGCTCAACGGCGGTGTGACACAGGTCGGTGTCCCTCTTCCCGAAGAGGGGCTTTACGGCAGCGTCCTCCTAGCACCCTGAGGGCTCCGGCTTGGGACCTGCCCCTGCCGCCGGATGCCCTATCATCTCCTCCCTTCGAGCCCCTGGCCCAGGTCGGGCTTAAGTGGCTGTCCCTGAAGGCAGCATTTCTGCTTGCCATAACCTCAGGGAAGTGAGTCGGAGAGCTTCATGCCCTCTCCGTAAGCAATACATGCCTGAGGTGGAACTCCGATGGCTCGGGTGTTGCCCTCTGGCCGAATGTGGCGTTCCTGCCCAAGGTGCTTCCGCTAGCCCACTCCAATCGGCCTATCCAACTGGCACGCTTTAACATTCCACAGGAGAGCGGCACGCCTGAGTTGCTGTGCCCTGTGCGTGCCCTAAGGGCGTATATTGAGGCTACGGCCTGTATATGGCAGTCAGAGCAGCTCTTCGTCTGCCATGGCGGCACTAGGAAGGGGCGTGCTCTTTCTAAGCAGTGGCTGTCCCACTGGGTGGTTGATACCATCACACATGCCTATGGGGCCAGTGGCCGCCCCCCACCATCAGGGGTGAGATGCCACTCTACAAGAAGCATCTCAACATCGTGGGCTGCCCTAAGAGGGGTGCCCCTGGAGACCATCTGCGCCGCGGCGTCGTGGGCGTCTTCTGGCACATTCTCCAGGTTCTACCGGGTCAATGTCGCCACTCCTCACCCTCTGGGTGTGGTCCTGTTGCCAAGCTCCGCTGCTTCCAGCTAGGGGAGTAAGTGTTTGGATTCTTCATGACATGGTTGGAATAAGTCATCCAGTGCTAAAGCACCGCCTCTGGCGGTCAGTAGGGACGAAATAGAACGATAGTTACGGCTGTAACTACGGTTCTATGAGTCCCGGATGACCGCCAGAGTTTCCTGTCACTCAGAATTCTTGTGTGCTCGCGAGAAGATTCTGGGAACAGATCCTCTGACGACACCGGCTGATATAGCTGGTGTCACGTGGGTCACAGGTGACTTTGTTGGTATTCGAGCTGCGCATGCGCGCGATGGATATATCCAGTGCTAAAGCACCGCCTCTGGTGGTCATCCGGGACTCATAGAACCGTAGTTACAGCCGTAACTATTGATCCTCACAGTAGGACTGACTTCTATAAGTTCATCAGTCATAAATTCAGACAATGACTCCATAGGCCGGGGGGAAAAAAAATATTCACAGATTGTAACTTCTTCAGGACACACTGCTGCTAAACTGCTGCTGTATAACTGTCAGATGTGAATTTTGCAAGAAGTACAATGTTGACTTTTTCTTCATCTATTTATTTATTTTTCTATAATTCTGATTCAAAAAGAATTATTGTAATTCTTTTGTGAAAATTATCAAATATTTCACACATCAAATTTAAGACCATATCAGTTAGCATGATATCTCTCATGATGGATTTAAAAGAAAAGTCTACATCAGTGAATTTCATACGTCTTATAACTGCAGTGCACTGCTAGATTTGTACTGGTCAACATATTGTTGGTCTCCTCTGCATTGACCCTCCCAAAAGTATTGGTATTGGTGACAAAAGGAACAGAGCAATGTAATTACTTTACAGGTAATGGCTTCACTTATAATTATCTGGTAATCATCATGAAGCTCTTCTATGATCCGACCACTGCACTGAGCTGTCACTAGTGACACTTATCTTATTGACATTTGATTTGTCATTAGAGAAATGTTTGCCTAAAAATAAATCATGCAGCTGCACTGTCAGTCTCATTTAGAATACACACAACGGATAATTTGATTAGTTGCTCGTGAGGTTCAGGAATTTTAAGATGCACACGCATTTTTTTCAATAAATTATCAGTGTTTTTTCTTTAGGGATCTTCATAAAAGAAAAGGGCCGAGTCGCCCTCTGGTGGTGATGTTCCTAACTTTACCTCTTCAACCTAACTTTACCCACTGGTGGGTTGGTTAATAAAACTCATGCTGTGTTTATTTAAAATGCTAGGGTAGATTTAAACATTTGCAACAACCCCCAATAGGTTTGAATAAAGTGATGCACAAGACATTAAGAATATTTGAAGTTGATTGAATAGTGCAGCAATAACAAAATGTCTTTGGGTTTGAATATTTTCACCCATACAGTTTGAATGAAAAACAAATTGACAGTTTATATATGATATGATCAGACAGACTGAATAACACTACTTTCACAACCAAATGATATTTTCAGTAAGAGCAAAATGCAATATAAAAGATGTGTAATGGAAATGACTTTAATTTTCTATTATTTAAAATGTAAACTAGAGCTGCATCTTGATTGTCTTGGTGAAGCACACAAAGCCACATTTAGCAGCTATTGTGCTGTCTCTCTTCAGTGTTTGTATACCAGATAAATAATACATGGAAAAGTTAGCTTCATTAAGTGTGATGCATATGTGCTGTCTTTATAAATTGGCTTGTTTGACACTGATGGTGTAAAGCAGGGAGTTAGTGTGAAGAGTAGGCTGCTGCATGAGGAGGAGAGGAGGAAGGCAACTGACTGGCAGATTGCTTGGGAGGCTGGCGGGAGCGATGTAGGCAGCAATAACACCATTATTGGCAGTTATTCACACGTCTACTTATCATGCACCTTATTTATAACAATAATAAGGTTAAAAGAAGTGAGAAAGTCATACCTTTTGATAATCATTATATAACCATTATATTTATCAGACAAACACTTGCCAACGCGGACATGTTTCACTATTTTCTCTTAACATGACACATTTCATTTGTATAAAGACAACAAGTCTGCTTTATTTGTTTCCACAAGAAAAACTCACTTCAAATAATGCATAAGCAATAAGCATATTGTCTGCAAAATGTAGTGTTGTAGTATAATCAACAGGAGACCATCAATGTATGAACTGTTTTTGGTAGTAGCCTACTTCACTGTATAATAGCTGAGTTATTGAATATTTAAGAAATAGAAAAACTTCACCAAAATTATCCACAATAATACCTTCAAATACTTCAAACATGTATTACTGTAGTATAGCCATAGTGTTGGAGGATGTGTGAAATGTTTTTGGTAGAACTTTACTTTATGACAGGAAAGTAATTTAAGTTATTTTTTGTAACAGTGTTTGGCGTTGCACTTTGTAGACGGTCAGTTTGCATGTTTTGATATAAATAGGTTAAAGTTCCTTGTCTATACCTTACTTTGGTTGTTAAGAGACCTCGTTTGTGTTTTGAGGACGTTTCGTGTTTGAATTATTAATCAATGAGGTTTGAATCTGTCAATATTTTTTTTAATTTAACCGAACTAGGAGAGCCCTCACCCTGCCCTCCTAACACTATACTTATCAGTAAAAGCTCTGAGAGGGCTTTAAAGCATGACTAAATGCCTCTCTTTTAAATCCAACGATATTTCAAAACCTTTACCTACCATCAGGTGTCGTTTGAAAAAGATTACTACAGCTTTGCCCCGCCCCTCGCTCTAAAGCTCCTTTGGTCGTTAAGTCAACAAAAAAAAAGGCATTGCGAAGGTACATGGTCTTTATTGGCTTTGCAATTGATAATCCAAAAGTAACGGAAAGTAATCAAGTTACATCACTTTTAAATAGATAGATTAGGTTACATTATGACTCGTTTTAAAGTGGATACATATATGGTAGTTTTTGTTCCAATGATTTCCACTTTTAGAAGCATAAATATTTCCTTGCTTTCCAATCATATGAACATACATTTGATGGAGATACGATACCCCAATATACCAATCACACACACACAATCATATATATCAATATATGTAGGCCTATATGGAATACCTTCACAAATTAAAAATCTGTCACAGAGGTTAAGCTGTTTTGTTATTAAGATGTTGTGTAAACCTGAAGGGAAGTGAAAAAGGTTGATACTGTACTATGCATAACGATTATCTCTACACTTAATACATTTTTAGTAGTTAGTTATAAAGGTAAATATACAGACACGTTTTTGACGTAGTTTACTATCTATAACAACTATATACCCATAATTGATTGGTCCCATTCTAAAGTGCTTAATGTAAAGCAGCTTTTTGTAGAAAACAGGTGACTTTTATTTATTGTGTTTCAACCATTGTGTTCATTCTATATGTTTGTGTTCTTTTTTCAAAATATGGGGAAGCATTTATGTCAATAAAATCAAACAAAATCCAAGAGCTCCACTTCACTGCACATCACCTGAAGTGTTGTGCCTCTTTAATATTGAGAAATTATGCAATGACAAACATGTCACATATATCTCACATGTCATGTCATGTGTAAAACATTAAAGGATAAGATGTAAACTTAAGTTAACAAACAACCAAACTTCGACAACAAAACCCCACCCAGTTTTATAGGGGTGTCTCCATTGGCCTCCCTGTCTGTTAATCCGTTCCCTCTTTATTCCGCTCCTGCCATTGGTCGGCGGTGACGACAATCCGGAGACGTGATCCCGCCCACCGAGCGGATCAAGTTTGAATGAACAACAGCAGTCTGTTCTAGAGGTGCTAGTTGCATTTGCAGTAATTATTAAAAGTGTGTATCATATCGCGGGGGCGCTGATCAAGGATGGACATGAAGAAAAGAATCCACCTAGAGTTGCGGAACCGCACTCCGTCAGATGTAAGTTGGCCTCACATATCGCTGCTAATGTTTCACTCTCAGCTAATGGAGAATCTTTCGTGTGATGTCTTGGCGTGGGGATACAAAGTTTCCTCCAAGTTAAAAAGGTGATGGTAGACGTCGGATCACATTGTTGCTTTGAGAACATGTTTACAGTTGGCAGGTCGCTGCAGGTACGCCGGGTGAACTTTTGTGCACGTCTTTGATGTGCTGTTTGAGAATGCTGCACAGCTTTTCATGCCAGCGGTATAAACAAGGCAAGCAGCACGAGAAGCCATATTTGTAACTTTTCATCTAAGAAACGCGCCCCGTTTCCCCTTTAAATCCCCTCGGTATTGCTATGTACTCTTTGTTTGATGGGTCATCTGCATGCTGTGACTACGAAATGAATATACCTGAACATTTAAGCCGTGCGCGTGGCGCGTTAAGGATGCGGATGCTCAAAGTCATGACATTATCAATGATGCATAAAGATCATAGCCTCGATTTATTGCCGTACAAATGCGTCCTACACCGACAGTTAACTCAAGCAGTCGTTTGGACTCGTTTATTTCTGCAGGAGGTGCATTCAAACCTACTCGAGCCTGCAGCCCCATGCAGCCTGTATCTGGAGCCACAGTGCGCACAGATGGCCGAAAGAAAGCGGTGTTAGCATGGACCGTTACCGACCACCAGGCTGGGCGAAAACCTATAGAGAAAACACAGATACATGCTTCACAAACACCCCCACATTGTTATTTACTGCAGGGTGTGCATTCAGCCGTTTCACAGAGACTCTTGTGGTTTTTCGACGACACTTCCAGCAGCCATAATGAAAACAAATGGTCGAGCCGCGTTGTTGTTGCTCTAGTTTTCCAGAACTAGGACAAGCCGCCATTTTACTGAGAAACAAAGGCATCCGAAATACACCGAATATCCCGTTCATTCGACACAAACGACGAAGGATTCATCATACCTTCCTATTAACAGAGGTCTATACACGCCTTCAGTCCAAACGGAAAGTGTTTAGCAGAAGCAACAATGAAACGTTTGCCTGGCAGCTATCTAATGTGCCTCAGCTGCCCCTCCTACTCACAAATGACCCTGTGCACGACTCGTAGGGCTGTTTCTGCCTCCGTTTCCACTAATCGCTCTGTACCTTCCGCACACATCTCTTACTACGTTCAAACTCGGTTATAAAGCGCGTGTCTGTTTATTATGAAAACGTAGCTAAATGTGATATTTACGTAATGGACTGAGAGCCAATGCATCGCGTATACTGCGTTGTAATGTGTCTAAGGATTATTGATGGACTGTAATGTTTTCATAGTTTCGGTGCTCAGTGCTGATTGGCTGATTCACGTTAAAGGCTGTGTTAATATATCCGATAACAGCACACCTGAGAGACTGCCTATCAGTTTAATTATTATCAATGCAACGAACCAAAAGCAACGCTCATGTAAATGCACTGTAGCTCAATGTGTGTTTATCGAGGGCTATGTGGATAGAGAACCCTTTGTTACTTGGTAAACGGCACTTAAGAAAAAATTGCAACATTTGTCACAATAAATGTAGAGAAATATAAGTATAAAGTAAAGGGAAATACTTCAGTATGTACAAGTAGCTGAACTAGTGGCAGAAGTATGGATCCTGGATGGAACCAGGATCCATACTTACTTTTTTTGGAAGTAAAACAAAATGGCAAAACCAAACAATTAAATGACTCCATTACAATAACAAGTCCTTTGTTTTAAGAAAAAAAAATCACCACAATTCTAAATACAATACATAAAAAAACAAGGACACTTGTTTTTTGACACAAACAGAATTTGTATTATTAGTACCGCATTAGTTACCTTTTTCATTTCTTGTCAGGAAAAGTACTTGAAGCAGTAGACTTTAGCAGTAGCAATTAAGTTAGCCATTTACTAACATTTTATTTATTATGCAAACATGATCATTCAAAGCGACTTACAATTAGTAATATTAAGAGCTTCTCATCAAAAATGTAAGTGCACCCCTCCTTAATAAAAAAAATCTGAGATCTTTAACTTGGAAATTGTCTAGGCCTCATATTCAGTTTGTCTTTTTTTTAACTGTTCGGAAATGTGCTTTTCAGGTCAAAGAACTTGTTCTAGACAACTGTCGCTCAAATGAAGGAAAGATCGAGGGTCTAACAGATGAGTTTGAGGAGCTGGAATTTCTAAGCACAATCAATGTTGGACTGACCTCAGTTGCCCACTTGCCGAAGCTAAATAAACTCAAAAAGGTGGGTGTTTTTCTGCACAAAACAAGTCTGTTACTTAAGGCTTTGGGGTTTTGCATATTTTGATCTGTTTAATTGATCCACAGCTTGAACTCAGCGATAACAGGATCTCAGGAGGGTTGGAAGTTCTGGCAGCAAAATGCCCCAACCTCACACATCTCAACCTCAGTGGCAACAAGATTAAAGACCTCAGCACAATAGGACCATTGGTAAGTGAGACCCCAAAATATTTGCTGAAGAATTCACAATATACCAAGCAGCTAGCTGTAATTATTGAGCAAACTTGATTTTTCTTTTGACAGAAAGAATTGGGAACCCTTAAAAGTCTGGATCTGTTTAACTGTGAAGTGACAAACCTGAACGAATACAGAGACAACGTGTTCAAGCTGCTACCCCAGCTCACGTACCTGGACGGGTACGACAAAGACGACAAAGAGGCACCAGATTCTGATGCTGAGGTCTATGCAGAGGGCTTGGATGATGACGATGACGATGAAGATGGTGAGTTTGCGGACTCTGTTCTTTCTAGCATCTGTTAAGGTGGGAACATCTGGCTAATAACAACAAACTTGTGTCACCCAGATGTCGAGGAGGAGGAGGATGATGAAGATGCAGCACCAGGAGAGGAGGAGGAGGAAGGAGAGGAAGACGAAGAGGAGAATGAAGAAGAGGAAGAGGAGGATGTCAGTGGAGAGGTGAGAGTAAATCAGATTTGCACTCTGTAATGATACAAAATAATTCTAAATGTATTAACTTTAAAAAAAAAATTCAAAGGAAGAAGAGGACGAAGATGTGAATGACAAGGAGGATGAGGATGATGAAGGTGAGTAAAATAATGGCTGACTTTAAAACATAAGCAGTCTCCTAAATCAATACTAGTTGCTAAGTGTATATATTATATACAAATCTTTATAGTATACATTTGTTGCAGTAAGTACACAAGAAATCAACAGTTTTCATGTTTTCAGTGAAACGCATGTCATTGAGGCCCGTTAAACATATTGAATTAATTTCCTTCAGTATAAAAACCTTTTGTATGCGTCTTTTTTAAAAACTTAAGTTTTTATATCTAGCTTGCATGTTCCCTCCAACAACTACTGAGCAATAATAGTAGTTATTACATTTTGTCTGGAAAGAGTTTGTCAATTGTAATAATTCAAAGTAGGTAATTTGTATCACATTTGTCTTGCTACTAGAGAAGGCAGGAAACAACTGCTTTTATACTAATAGGAAACATTATACATGCACCCTTGTATTGGCAATCGGACTGCAACTTTTTAATGACACTGCCAATTACATTTATGAACAGACAGTGATGTGTTTTTACAAAAATCCTAAAGTCTCGCCAGCTACTGTTAGTCCTAAATAATGGAACCGGCAAAACAACTTTAACGGAAGTCATGGATTTACTTCTAGTCTTTGCCTCTCTTTAAACACAACTCTCGTTTTTGTAGAAGAAGAGCGAGGTCAGAAGAGAAAAAGGGATCTGGATGAAGAAGGGGAAGAAGGAGAAGACGATGAAGACGATTGAGGGTCCTCTTGAAGCTAAGTCGCGAACTGTTAAACTTGTATCTCCCAGCCACTTCCCAACAACCCCATGTAATTTCCCCCCGTTTCATATTGCAGTAGGAGTGGTTTTTGTTATTGGCCAGTCAGGTAGACGGGGTTGTCTGGAGAAATATGTTAAATTTATGTACCTTTGATGCTCCTGTGTTCCAGTCTTTACAGTCCACTTTTATCTGCTCCGTGGACACCAATTTTGTAATATCCAATAATGGCAAAGATAAACCTTTTTAAGAAATGTTTTTTTCTTTTCTCACGTTGTGTAAGACCAGTTTCTGATGTATTTTATTTAAAACCCCCTTCAAAAGAAAATACAAAACAAAAAAAGAGTGCATGTCTAAACATTTTAAAGTCAAATACTGGATATCATGTATGGCTGTCCTCTCCTCGTCTTAAACTTATTTTTGCATCGTACTTTTATCTCTTTTTTTTTAATGTAAGTTATGTATTTGTAGTGTCACCAGTATGCCAATACTCTCTGCTGTCCTGGTGTGAAACTTCTGTCTGAACATGCACAGTGTGACCCTCACAGGGCATATTTTTAAATCCTAGCAAAGAAATGTCTGCCCTTCTCAAAGCCGCTCCTCCTCCTTAAACCCTCAGCTTTGATAGTTCGGAAATTACGTGTTCTTGTAAATACTGACCAAATCTATTTTTTTGTATTCTCTTTGATGACGGCAGACATTGAACAGACAACTGAGGTGAAACTTTTACTTGTAATAAGATATTAAATATGTATGCTGCTTTATCTAAAAAAACGCAGTGTGACATTTCTTGAATTTGAACATAACTTTGTATGCATAATCTTTCCATAAAGAGAAATGTTCAACATCAAAACTCATCATCACTCTTCCCATGTTCTTTTCTGTGACACACAGGTGGCAATGTTTGAATTTGTGGTGGTAGTGTAGAGAAATACTTGATATAAACGGAGGTTACAACTGCAAATTATGTGCATAGAAATGTTATTGTTACAAAATGTAAACTCTGGAAAACGGTCAGTTACTTGGACTTTGTTTTCACTATTATTCGTACTGGTCAAATTGGCCTACCTCAGTGATTTTTCACTCCATGTTAAATCCACTGTCATCAGCCAAATTGTTTAATTTTCCCTCCCATTCACTTCAATAAATCCCTTTTTTATATACGTTTTTGAGTTTGTGGTCCTTGTGCAACATTGTCATGTCAAATGCAAAGTATATACACATGGTAACAGTTTTAGGTCATTGATGGAAAGATGATATTTTTCAGATTGAGATGTCATACTGTCAATTCTATTACACAAAACTCTTCACCAAAGACCACGCCAATCACATTTAAACTGGGTTTAATTGTCCAAAATGTTAGTCAAGTTCAGTGCCAAACTAAATGGGTAGAATTACCAAGGTTACCCTTGTCTAAGCCAAAATGCCATTCAACTGTACAATACGTTTTCATCATTTAAAAGCCTCTCTATACTGTGATTCCAGGTTCCCAAAGATTTACCAATTAGTTTTTTGGTGTTAGTCCTCAGTACACCTACACAAGAAGCCCTGACAAAACTCAACTCCAATCCTTCACCTGTCTCTCCACTGTAGCTGACCCATCTCTGGTAGATCCTTATCCCACTGTCTACTTTCACTGTAGAGTTAGATCTTTCCTGCAAAAAAACACATTTACCATTATAGTGTCACTGGTTCCAGTCTGCATGTAAAGGGCTTGTTTTTTGGACCCTTTATGTTCCAACTATGATGTGATCAGGGAAGACTTGAGACCGTAACTTACTTTTTACCAACTCTGGGCACAGATCCGTTTCTGCATGAAGCCGATCGAATCATTTTCCTTATCTCAGTCCATCAGTAATATGAAAGGTTGAATGAAATGGGCCTGGGTTAAAAGACACATGGCATGTTGTGCAGCATCTTTGTCAAATGTTAATCAAGTGCCCATTTTACTTTTTACACTGAGGGGGAAAAACATGAAATGGTCAAATGTAGGCATTTATACCACAATTCAACCTAAATCTGATGATTGAACAAGTGAGCAGCAGAGATTACCTGGAGTTTCTAGAGCAAAAAACACCTACAGTTAAAGGTAGGGTAGGTAAGTTTGAGAAACCGGCTTGAGATACACTTTTTGTTATATTCCATGGCATGCTCTTAACATCCCGATAGCAATGAATATCTTAAATGCTTTGACAAAAAATCCATAAAAAAATGTCATCTGTGGAAGCCGTAGTACTGTAAAAAGCACGACCAATCATTTTAGCCGGCCCGGCTAAAATAACTGGATGGCCTACCTGCCTGTCAGCCTTCCATCTGTGCACAAACTTATCTCGTGCCCTCATTGGTCATGTGCGCGTTCGTGTGTGTTGGAGGAGGGGCTCTGTAAAGAAGTGGCAGATTTTCTCCGGTTGTGTATTTTCAAATTCTAGCGATCTCGAGCCGGTTTCTCAAACTTACCTACCCTACCTTTAAGCACATGTCACTCACTAATGGTGATATACTTAGTTTAAATGGTAAAGGATGGTTATTATCACAGTTTTCAGCACTGTTAGGAAAATGCAAGATTATATTATTTATACCTTATCTGATGTGATGTCGTTGGAGTCACAGAACTAATACCATAAAAAAGGTACAGTTTCACACAAATCTTGCACCAACTGGAAACATTCAGCAAAATCTATCAAGCATCACAATCATTACTTGCGCAACCAATAGCATACAAAAAATGGGATTAACAAATATACATGTTATTAGTTAAAAAGGTAATTTGTGACAAATAAATAGAAGCAAATATACATAACCACCAACTTGGCCCTAAAACAGCCAACAAAGCTTCGGTTGAGACTATACCGGAGTTAGGCAAGTCCACCACCTCTAAATGCATGTCTCCCCTGCTGCTTAACCACTATTTAAATAAAGAGTAAAGTACTAAAGTGAGGGATCATCCACTCCTTGGAAAGAAAGACTGCATAAGGGTAGCTATAAGTCAGTATTGTGAAGTCAATTTATAGCCAGTAACATCGGTTAGGGTGAAAAAAGGGACGGGATAAGCAGCTCGTGAAAAGCATGAGCCACGTCTGCAAAAGCTTGTGTTGTCTGTCAGGTGCAAAAATACTTCACGTCAGCCGTTTTGAAAGGATCCTGCAGCTTGCTGCAAAGGGTGTCTGCAGCAGGGAGTAAGGCCTTGTGGAAGCAAAATAGGAGCCAGCGTGACAGTCTTTTTATCCTCCAGTTTTGCCTCAGCAAAAAATGAGAATTGTGGTTTGGTCATAAGAGGTTGGGTGATGGCTTTTTTTGCGTAGTGATCAAGGTATTGCATCGTGATTGGCAGGGTAGGCACAGTGAGACAAATACTCTAGAGGTCTGGCAGAAAATATGCAACAACTGATCCCAACACTTGAGTGTGCTAGATCAGGAACAAGTAGTAAAAATACAGACAATACTAAATGGATTGGATCTCAAACATCCATCGAGTTCATGTTAAGGTGGAAATCCATGAACAGTGCCTCGTCTCCATTACTTATCACATTTGTTAATATTACTATTTTCCAGTAATTGTTCCAGTTAAGACATTATCCAACACTTATCATATTAGTGTATGCGCTATGCAGGGCAGCAGGAATGAATATACAATTTATCAAAAAAGAGGCTGAGGAGGGCTCAGAAGCTTGTTGGAGGTCAGAATTTGGGGCAAAGGAAGCAGCTTTGCCAGTCCAGGAGGTTGAGAGGTCAGACGTTGTTGGGGCTAACGTTCTTCAGGTTGTTGAGCTCCAGCTCCAGCTGGCGTATTCGCACATCCTTGGTGGTCAGCTCCTCCTTCAGCCGCCGCAGTTCATCCTGCTGCCGAAAGAACATCCGCAGGAGCTACATAATGAAAACAAAAACTCCTGCAAGTTACACATACAAGTATTAACATGTTAACAGAATACATTCTTAGAATGTAAACAGATGGAAGACACTTATAGTCACTGCAAAAAGCTGAGGCAGATTCACTCTACTCAGAAAGACAACTTTTACACTAGGGGAACAGCAGGGTATAGAGATGGCAGCTGTGTGAAGTCACAGCATTATTCAGCACACACCTCGTTCTCTGTCCTGGGGGGTACATTCTCCAGCAGGTCGATCCCATTCACTACCACACTCTTCTTTTCCTTCACTGGGGCCTTGAACACTAACTGGTTCGGTCGCTGGTAACCCTCCTTCAGGGACATCAAGACTGGGTCTGTTCACATATAACAAGCAAAATAATGTAAAAACCAACAAAATAGCACAGAGGCTTAAAAGGCACTTTTCACAAATAAAAGATAACATTTTTACCAGGTTACTATAGTGCTATTCATTCATCTTGATTATTTTCTATATTGTAATAAGTAATCCTGGTCTCCCTGGAAAGAGTGATGCTGTTTGTCAGGTTTGGGGAAAATAGGACCCAAGTGCAGTTTAAAGGACTAAAAAAGGTAAGGTAACAAAAAGCGAGCTTTATTCCAAAAAAAAGCCGATGACAAAAGAAAACAAGATACCAATTAACATTAACAAAACTGGGGAGCACGACAGACAGGAACAAACTTACAGGCGGGAACAGGCAGGAGACATGGACTAGCAAAGACGAGCATAGGCGAGGCAGGGAACAAGGGCATGAAGAGACAAGGTAGCATGGACATATAAAGACGACGAACAGACATGGAGCACAGGGGAAGACAAGACTAAATACACAGAACGGTAATCACAGGACAAGACACAGCTGGGCAGGGGAGGCAGAAACACAAGGGCAACAGGTGAACACAATCAGACACACCAGGGAAACTAACGACAGGAAGGCAAACACAGGAAGTAGGATCAGACAAGACACAAGGAGGAAAACATTTCAAAAAATAAAAAAGTGGAAATGAAAAACATAAATCCAAAACCATGACACTGTTGAGTTTTTGAGATGTTTGCTTTCGGCGCTTTGACTATCACAAGCCGAGTGCCATCTTTTTTAATTAAAATATATTAACACATTTAAGGCAGAAATCTCATGGGCAATATCTTCAACACTCACACACAAACAATCCAGATTGATGAGTAGCACAACAGATAAGAGGAACATTTGTGACTTTGGGTTGAACTGTCCCTTTACAGGTCACCAATTTCTCAATTCTCTGTGTTTGTCTTAAACCTTGCATATCTAACTCTTGCATATGTACTCACAGCTTTTTAACATGTGCAATTCATTCAATACCTGATCTGCAAACTAGAATCTGTAGTTTTCCCAATACAAGATTCCCCCTATTGTTTGGAGTTAGATAAGTGTCAAATTACTTCCACAGAGGTAACATTGGAGAGGGTAATGTTCACTTTGAAAAGGCAGTCTGTAATGCTTTATTATGTCTTAAAACTGTAAGTCCTGGATTTAGTGTTTAAGTGGCTGACCTTATAATTTAAAGACCTCATAAAATGTATATCAGAGTTGGAGTTAGAGTATAAACTTAATTTTAAGGAAATATATGTGGGAGTTGGCACCCAATGCAGGATGATATGTTGGTATAAGATTAAGATCTTCACTTAAAGGTAGGGTAGGTAAGTTTGAGAAAGCCGGCTCGAGATCGCTAGAATTTGAAAATACACAACCGGAGAAAATCTGCCACTTCCTTACAGAGCCCCTCCTCCAACACACACGAACGCGCACATGACCAATGAGGGCACGAGATAAGTTTGTGCACAGATGGAAGGCTGACAGGCAGATAGGCCATCCAGTTATTTTAGCCGGGCTGGCTAAAATGATTGGTCGTGCTTTTTACTGTACTACGGCTTCCACAGATGACATTTTTTTATGGATTTTTTGTCAAAGCACTTAAGATTAGTGATGGCGAGATGAAGCCTTATGAAGCTTTGAAGCTTTCCAGCCAATTGGTTCGCAAAAGGGTTCATCTCATGAGGCTTCATCATGGGCTTCATTTGAACACAAACCCCCTGTTGGTCAAAGTGTGTAAAACAGGCAGATTGGACATCTCAACAGTGTGCTCTATCTCATACCGAGTTCCCAATGAGTAAAGCCTTAGAATAACTCTAAACAACGAACTTTAAATCATATGTTCATGTTAACAATATTGTTTTTATTCCAGTTGAATGATTGTGATTGAAAAACCTAAGGAGGCTGGTAAACATTGCAAAGAGGGATTTGTATTCCTTAATAATATTCATAAACTTAACCATGTTGTAGCCTGAGAAAGGCTAAACCATATCAAAGAATACATTTATTAACTACATTATCTCATTTAGCTGTAGCTTTTATAAACAACAAAAAATACGTATTGTTCAGTCGTTGAACCAGGGACCATGCGGTCGTGAGTCAACTGCTTTCCAGCTGAGCCACAGCACACACGCTGAAACTCTGTGAAAACACTACACCATATTTATTCATTTATTTATTCATGTTTTATTCCTACATTTATTTATGCTTGTATCTATTTATACTTATGACATGTTCCGACCTCTATATAAGTGAGGGTCTGAGCTCTTTTAATTCCATCGTGTCACCAGCGGACCCGGGTACAGGAGGGGTAATATGGTTCTTATTATACATCCATGGGTATTATGAGCGTTGTGGTTCAACGGTTCAACTGATCTGAAGCGCTTCCTGAAGCAGTCACGTGGTATCGACAGGCAGCGAGGCTTCGTTTGTCATCGATGACGTCACTGGCCCCAAAACGATACAAGCCTCGATACATGCTTCACAAAAAGCTTCGGGGATTACTCGACACACGCTCCGAAGCCTCGGCACAATACGTAACATCACTACTTAAGATATTCATTGCTATCGGGATGTTAAGAGCATTCCATGGAATATAACAAAAAGTGTATCTCGAGCCGGTTTCTCAAACTTACCTACCCTACCTTTAACATCAGTTTATATTTGGCAAAAAGTGTATTCTGTTAAATGTTGTGTGTCTGAAGTGATGTTCACCTCTGTTAATGCCGCTCAGCCATTCGCTTGGAGACAGTGCAGGTTCTGTTCCTGCGGTCATGGGGTAGATGTCCTCCTGGTACGTGTCTGACTGTAAACCAAGAAACATACATTCTTGTTTTATTGATTAGATTTGGTATCGGAGGGAAAAAAAGATCATATTATGTTGTCTTAAATAAGATTTCATGTTTTAAAGCATTACATGTAACCTCTCTGCATTGGTTTGAAAATATTCGTATCCACACTAATGCCTTCAGCGAGCACTTAAACACTTACTGGCCTTTTCTCTCTGTGTTGCTACACTTGTAAGTCAAACCAGGAAATGAAAAATGATCCTTTTACGTTCAGATTAATTACCTCTCCTAAATGACTCTCAGCTCTGATTACCTAGCTGTGTATTTCATAGCATACCGGACTACTGCACTGTGTCAAAGAGTTTCCAAGAGATGTTGATTAACCACATTAAAAATGTATGGCTCTTTAACCAATTATGTGCTGATTAATTGCAAAATGTTTGCAGAAATAATTAATAATCAGAGAACAGAGTCAAATCTGTTCATTATTCATTTATACCCACTAACCCTCCTCGGCACAATCATGGAGATGGGCTCGATCAAACCCTTCAGGGTGACAAGCTTGTAGAAGCGGAAAACCTCGCACGCTCCCACGTCCAGCCCGTGCTTCGGCATCACACCTGCAGACAATCATCAGAATCGGTGGTGACACAACCTTTTTGACAAAATAAAAAAATTCCATCCAAGCAATTCAACACCAATTGCAGTCACAAGAACAAGAGAAAAGTATCAACCTGCTGCAATGTGACACGAAGTTAGTTGAAGTCATAAAGCTACTCTGAGGGAATGTATTTCAATTATTCTGCCTCATTTTTCCCTTCAGTTCATTTAATCTTTTCAGCCATGCAGCACCACTTTCAGAGTAGTAAATCCCTCCTCCCTTCCCTAAAGACTGCTAATGAAGCGGGTAGTATCTGTCACTCCGCTCTCAGCAGGAGAGATCACATTTGCTGACTTACCGAGTCCTTTCTGCGGGGTCGGGGACCGGAACTCCATTAGGTATTGTAAGTACGGCTTCTCTGTGGTAATCTCAAAGTACCGGATGTTGCCGTCCCCCTGCCAAGGCACCAGAATGTGTCCGTTACACCACAGTTCAAGAAGTAACTCATTTTTTACCATTCAGATTAGTAAAGCCTCATCTCATTTTTGTGCTTTGCTCCAATTCCCAAAATAAACTGTACCGTCTTAGATTTAAATACTTCTTTAAATGATTTGCCTAACATTTTAAATGACTGAGGTTTTTCAAATTAATGAAGGGTGTTGAAGATTAGAAAAGTAAATATGAATGTCTTTTAAATCAAAATTGAAATAATACCCTAACACCTAGTATCAATTATCAGAATAGTTTGCGTTGAAACGTGTCTGTGCAGCAACCAGGAGGAAATATGTGATTGGTGTCAAATATAAGGCATAAAATTGACATTCATAAATACATATTTGACACTAACACATAAACATTATTTTGCTATTGTGTTGACTTGGAACTGTTTGTTCACTTTATTTAGGGGGCAATTCCTGCTGGTTTTAGTTAAAGGGATGCATAATGGTCAAATTCTATAATTTATTTTATCATTTTAATTTATTTATGCATTTTATGTTTGTATGCTCTTGGCACTTGGCACTCAAAAAAGGAAAACATTGACGTTTGTAGCTCATTATTTTGTTTTGTATTTGCCATATTTATTTTGAACTGTTTGCCTCTATCCTGTTATTTCGTGAGATAAATATATTAAAATAAAAACCTGTAGTACAGTTTTGATAATTTAATAGACATCAATTTGGTTCTGAATGAGGTCAATCTTAAAAAATGTACAGTTCTGAGAAATAACTTCCTTGTTGTGACCCAGTGATAGGCAGCACTGACCTTGCCTGCCAGGTACAACATGTGTGTGTCAGCATCATAGAAAGGAAACAACAGTCCGGACAGGCCATCTATGTCCTCCTCCACAATTGGCATGGACAAATCCTCCTAGAAGGAGAAACACACACATACACACAATGCTAATTAAACACACACACTCGCACCTCTGGCATTACATGCGCGGGCCATATGGAGGTGTTGTCTGACCTGGTCCCAGAGAGCGATCTGCCGGGTGTTCCAGCGTGAGACCCCTGTGGTGAGCAGTCGCTTCATGTTGCCCAGAAACACCACCCGATTCACGCGGTGGTTCTTACAGCTGGCTTGCTGATGGAGCAGCACACAGAGACACAGCGTTAATTATACAGGGACCAGCTCGGGGGGTTATTCTCTTATGTATTATCAGTATTCATTCTTAGGACTATTATGTTGTTGTGACAAGTAGGGTAGGGAGCACACAGCATATGCTCTATAATAGGGTTTGCAAACAGCCTCAGATGTAATCTTTGAAAGTAGATCTGTATTTCAGGTTCATATTTTCATGATGTTTCCCCTTTTTATCACAACCTCTCTATTCTGCTCCTCCTGCTCTCTGATGTTGATAACCTCCACTTGGTGCAGCAAACATGAGTCTAATCAGAAACCATTTCCTGGTGATCTGGCGGGGAGAGCACCAAGGTCAAATATTACAACAAATCATTAGGTGACCCTAATTAAATCTGTAGATTGAAATTATTTTGACCAAAACCAGGCTTAAAATGTGTGATCTCATAGAGCTGCAATTTCTACAACAACATTTCTTCCACAAGTTTTTGGATCCTGGCCACGGGGGTTTGTTCTCGTTCAGCCAGAAGAGTGTTAGTGAGCCATTGATGCAGGGCATTAAGGCACTCTGATCAAATGTCAGCGATCTTATGAACTTGTCAGCTGCCAACAAATAGGTGTATTTATTGTTATTATTGTTTGTTTAATACTCAATTCTGATTGGTCAATAACTCAATACTATGGTGTGTTATTTCTGTGATGCACACATTTCTATGTATGCATTTATTATGTTAAATTCTGGAGAAGATACTTTTTAAATGAATAAATTATTTTTTAAATAAAAAAAATAGTTCTTAAGCTAAGATTGGTCTCAAATTATTAATTTAGCCATGTAATAAAAAGGATAATATCCAGCCAGCCGGCCATTATTGCACCATCCTGCTGTGTTCATTTTGAAATAATGAACAGCTAGCTGTATATTATCCCATAGACGCGCTTAACATTTTACTTGTTTACCCTATCATTTTTAAATCATGGAGGTGAAATCTCATCAACATTATTCAAATTTGATATAGTCTCTAGGACAAAAAAACTATAAATGATTTCCACAGTATAATCAGTTGTAGCAAGGGATATTTTAACATCAGCAGTGGTGCACGCCCCACAGAAACAGCAGCTGCCCCCCCCCCCTGACCTGAAGGACGGTCCCGGAGCGCGGCTCGATGACTCGCAGCTTCTTGTCTTTGCAGCTGGTGGCCAGCAGGCTGCCGTCGGTGTTGAAGGACATGCTGAGGATGACGTCAGTGTGGCAGTCGATCATCTTCACCGGCTCTCCGATCTCCAGGTTCCAGATCAGGATCTGACACAGTCGGGAGGGAGAGTTTGGGTGGAGCTGTTAGATTGCTGTAGCGCTTGATTCAGTGGTGTGATTATGTTGTGGGCTTGGGACTAGAATTTGCCTTTGTTTTTGTGTGCTACTAATAACACATCCGACAGTAGTCTGTTCTGATATTCAAGGTGAAATAAAAACAATATACTTTACATATAATTACTCTGTCATTTAGTGTTTTAGGAAATTCTATTAATCGTTCAGTTTATAAAATGACCTAAAACAGCAAAAATGCTGAACACAATTTTTCAGAGCCCAAGGTGTTATATTTATGTTATATCTGATAAATACCCTGAAATACTCATTTGATTATGATATGGAAAGTTAATATTTAGGAAGCTATAATCAGCAATTATTTGGCATTTGTGCTTGATAAATACAAACAATTGATTAATCAAACACAATATCATATAAGAATACTTTCAAAATTAACTAAAAGGTACTCTCAAATAAGTCAAGTAACACGTTTTATATATCTAACAGTATTTGAGTATCTAAGAAGGCATGAATTAAAACATTGAGCTGCTTATACTCATAGTGCTTTCAGTGTACTTTGCTGATTTGAGCTTGGTTACATGTTACTGTGCAGTACCTTGTAATCATAGCCAGCGCTGAAGAGAATGCCGCTGCTGGTGGGGTGCCACTCGATCACACCCCACCCGCCTGCTGTGGCCATACAGCTCCAGCACCGCCTCCGTCATGTTGCGCCTTAGACCGCCCTCTGGGATCTCCCATACTCGCACCTGCCGCGTTAACATGAAACAGTCAACAGAAAGTATACAAAATATACAGCACACACACACACATTTTTTATAGAACAGGTCAATAAGTATGTATTAAAGTAAGATTTGGTCAGAGGCAACCTTTTTTTTAAATGGCCGCAATCAACATAACACAGCTAGAGATCCCTCTGATCAAAAATAGCCCACGGTATCAATGCAGCCCATTGCATTAGGATTAGTCTGGATTACAGATATGGCTAGAGGCTCTGTGTTGGTCCAGAGGAGATTATCCGTCAACAAGTGAAAGTACTTTACAGGACACAGTGCTGCATGGTTTTACTGTAGACTAACATAACATGTGCGTGGGGAAAAGGCCTACAGGTTGTATATTTGCAACATTGGAGATTGAGAGTGATAGTGATTAAGATTTGATATGTCTAATGTTATTTACATAGTCAGGGAATGAACAGCTAGTGGATTTGTGACTTGCACAAAGGCATTTCACATCCGTCATTTGCCATTTTTAGGCCGCTTGCTCACAATAACAACTGCAGCAGCAGCTGCCGGGCGAAATCCAATCACAAGCTTGTGTCTAGTACAAAGTCTCTACATCCCACACCCTGTGGACATAGTGATTTCATGACCTTTTTGCCTTCTGAGCCAGTGGCTGCATGATTCACAGATTCATCTTCAAAGTTTCACAATACTATATTCCTCTATAATCACTTGTAAAAAAACATTAACAATGTAATAAAGTAGGTCACTTACCGAGGTGTCCTCCGAGCAGGAGGCTATGATGTTTTCAAAGAAAGGATTCCACTTGATATCCAGCACATTGCCTTGGTGGCCACACACTTTTGGGTAATGAGAGTCTAGGCGGCCAGACTGAAACAGAGAAAGAGAAATTGTTATTTTGCATTTTCTTTTTATGTGTTAGCATGTTGGTGAAAGGAATGAATTAAGCATTTATTAGGACCTACGTGAACCATACCATAATCAAGAGGTTATACAAAAATGTACTGTAAGTGGTAATTAAATTGATAAATTGTGTAGTCATGTTTTTGAAACATAAAAATGCATAAAAGACACCCAGTACATGGCATCTTCGGTAAAACATGTCTCAAAAAATATTTTATTATAAAAGAATATTAATAATACAAATAAATGAATCTGTACTGATCTCCGAGGAACATTAATGAACACATTTTATTGATGTATTGATTTTATTCGCTGAAAGACGAAATCAAAATAAATAAAAATCACATCAGAGAGATGGTTTAATAAAGCAGAGCAGGTTATTGTACTGGGACATCTGAGGCACATCTCTGTTATTGCAATAACCGTCAGAGTCCACAGAGGGGCAGTGGCTCACAACAACAGGGGACAGACACCACCTCCAAATGTCGGTCATGTTGTCATGAATGTTTGATGTAACTTCAATCCACTGACCTATTTTTTTGTTCCCTCAGAGATTTGTTGAGGTCATGCCTCAGTGAAATCCTGTGTGTGTTTAAGTCCACTGTCCTTACTGAACCCTGAACATTCACTCCATATGTTATCAAACCCTACTCTGAACTCTATCAACCCTTCTATAATATAACAAATATAAGAAACAATGACAATAAAATGCAACATGTTTGCACCCTGAACCTGATACAAAAAGCAATACAAACATAAAAAATAAAAACATTAAAAAAAAAGATTTACAATTTACTAAATTGTAAATCATACAGCCTCAGTAAGGCTAGGTTTATGAATGTATATTAATGACAGTGAAATATCATGTAGTGTACAGTATACCTACATTGCTCAATATTAGCTTGCTACTGACACCAAGCTGACAAGTTAAATAGCTATAATATTAATATCAGTGTATTCTCAGCACCATACAAAAGATACAGTAAATAGAAACATAAACACATAAGCATGCAGATCAATAAATACTTTTTGAATGTCATACTTGTAGCTTATCCAATAAAAATAGACAAGCAGTAGGTGTGCCAACAGGAAACAATGTTTCAAGTTTGCCAAAGTGACCAAAAGCAATAGACATAAATGTCTGCCAAACTTTGACAACAGTTTAGTGGGACATCAATTCAGTCAATAAAACAGCCAAGGATAGTATGAGAAAGCGTGACTCTTTAACATCCCTCCCGTTATTTTCTGCTAACTTTGGACCACAATAGCTTCTCACGACATCCAAAAAGAAACTCAAATTTGGGTACATGTACAGATGCAAATTTAAAAGGGGACCTATTATGCTATATTTGAAAAATACATTGTAGGGCCATACCAATAGAAAACATGTCTGTGAAGTTTTTTGCTTAAAATACCAAACAGATCACCCATGTAGCCATGCCTCATACTGCTCATACCCCTCTATTCCAGCCCTGTTCCAAAAAGGCTGATTCTGTGACCGTAGCTTTAAATGGAACAGCTGCTGCTAGCCACGCCCCTTTGTAGCATCATGCAGCTTTCCCCTGCTAAGAGAGTTTTCTATCGGGAGAAACTCAGCTAAACGCTGCCGTGATTAAATGCCATATTATGTTCCCAACCACTTCAAGCATTATTTCTGAAACAGTATGGAGCTCAAACGTTTCTCTCTCGTAGGGTTTACCACAAGGACATTACGTTACACATATTCTCTCCAGTACAGCGTTAGCTCTGAGTGTTAGCATGCTTGTTAATGTAAACACAGACCATATTACTCCCAAAACACGCAGCGCATTGTTTCTGATGCAGCACATGTTCTTTCTTAAAGGTAGGGTAGGTACATTTTAGAAACCAGCTCGAGATCGCTAAAATTTGAAAATACACAACCGGAGAAAATCTGCCACTTCCTTATAGAGCCCCTCCTCCAACACACACGAACGCGCACATGACCAATGAGGGCACGAGATAAGTTTGTGCACAGATGGAAGGCTGACAGGCAGGTAGGCCATCCAGTTATTTTAGCCGGGCCGGCTAAAATAATTGGTCGTGCTTTTTACAGTATTACGGCTTCCACAGATGACATTTTTTTATGGATTTTTTGTCAAAGCACTTAAGATATTCATTGCCATCGGGATGTTAAGAGCATTCCATGGAATACAACAAAAAGTGTATCTCGAGCCGGTTTCTCAAACTTACCTACCCTACCTTTAAGTGTTTATCGCTAGAACAGTGCCATTATATGTATTATATATAGTGCTTCCTGCAGACATCCTGCTGAATACACAGACACACAGCAGCGAGAGGGGATTCAGCTAGACGACTGTATACGGACGATAGGTTGGGACGTGTCACGTGTGCCACCAATGACGTCATAGGAGCCAAAATCCTGGATCAGCTCGTTTGCACCCCCGTTTTCTTTTCTTTTTTTAGAGATGTGGGTAAGGAGGAAAAGAGAGGATTGTATTTTCTGAAACTTTGTGAGTCTCTTTACACACCGGCGGGGACACAGATTTATGTATAAAAGACATCAAAAAGTGCATTTTGCATAATAGGTCCTCTTTAATTAAGTTATACAAAATAAAAAATTAAAAAGGGACAAGCAAGGCTAATGCCGAGTTTTGAAGACACAGTTTTCTATTAATGTGGATGGCCTCAAAACATTATTAACATGGGACCTGAGGGACTGCTTAGTAAGATGGAACTAATTACCTGCAAGGAAATAATGTATGTTGGGATCCACAGGGTTCAGGGGTCCATGAGGTATTATTGGAGTCGCACAGATGTGCCGGCCCAGCAGCTGCATTACACCAAAGGCACCGCGATGGCTAACAACTGTTATTGATCTCTAATTCCCAATAAATCCTAATTACTGCTGTTCTGGGATGTTCTAAAGGCAGTATTTTAACTTGTCTGGCTATAATACAGTTTAATGTGAATTAATTAATTACAGACCAGGAGGGTGTTAACAACTCATTTGGATTCAATAATGCAAGACTGGCAATTTGGACTTTTCTATCCTAATTGTCTTTACTAAACAACTCACGAATGTTGCAGCTAAACATCTGTGTTGCTGCATGCGGATATCAATCACTCTAATCTCAGCAGAGGGAAATGAACAAGCTGAGTCATGCTTATCAAACTGAATTGCTGCTGCTGTGTTTTTTCTCATGTTAATGGTACTCTAATATATGCCGTTAGAGCATTCATGTTGTATGCACCATGCAGCAGAATGGTCTGCATTATATTGACACTGTATTGGAGTTTTCTAAAAAATAACTTCACCGTTTAACTTAATGGTCATTTTAATAAATCGTAGCAAAATAACATCCTTAACGTTGAATATGAGTATTATGCACAATATGCTGTGAACTTCACTTCCATATATACAGTATATAAAGCCATTAACCCAGGTACACTCTTAATAACATAACAAGATTAATGCAGTGTAGGGATCTCAGTGTTTCCCCTACCATTGTCGGGGCGTTGCGCCCTGCCAACAGAGCCCCGCGCCCCGCCTGAAATTCAAGGTGTTTTTTTTCTTTTTTTATTAAAAAAAAATATATATAGCACCAAATTGCAACTGAAGTAATCTATCTACGGTCACTTTTCACATTGAACATGTGCTCTTTTATTAAATAAACTAAAAGTTAAAACACACACACACACACACACACACACACACACACCAAAGTGTAAAAAAAGTCAAACAAATCTGCATTATTGCCCCGAGCTCTGCTGTCTGCCCGTTTGTGTCCCCCCCCAGTTTCAAATTTGTTTATTATTATTTTTTAACCTCAACCGTTATCGATAAAAAAAAGAAATTCAAATCGTTTTTCGTTGGGGGGGGTACCCGAGCAGCACCCTGCCAAGGCAGTAAACCTAGGGGAAACACTGGATCTATATATAATCATATACAATATTACATTTGATCCTGCTGGTGAACCGACACATACCAGAACCTTTAGTAAAAATAAACTGCAGTACTGGTTTATTTTAGATAAGAGATGAGATTGCAACAGCTTCAAGTATTTTCATTGTTGAAAATTGTGCTGTTTTTCCTTTTAAATATTCATTGGTTGGTCGTTAAAATGTGAGAAAAAAGCAAACAATCGCATTAAGGCAATATCCCAGAGTGCAAAGTGACACCTACACTGGCACCAAAGATTAATTAACAAATGCTTTTAAATAATTAAAAGATAATTTAGAATGAGTAGTAATGGTAGCAACGATTCAAAAAGCACCACACCCTCTCTTTGTCTGAGGCGATGGAGAGGTGTTTGTCACCTTATGAGGTGATTTCTGGGCCGGTGTGTGTGCCAGGTGGTGCCAGCGGTATTCCTCCCCCTTGCTAGTGGCGTCGTCTGGGGCAACCATATGTCCGTCTCGCCGGCTGTCATCATAATATGTCTCACACCTCGCCATTAGCCAAGCACACACACACACACACATCAGATTGAATTTCTAATGAAGGAGCAAGAGGAGCTCATTTCAAACGTTCACAAATGTAGTTGGCCTTGTATTAAGATTTTACTTTCCTTTAATGCTTATATTTCCAACCTTGTTCAGGTTATTTTTCTCTCATTTCTTATCAGTTTTGAGTGATTTCATATAATTGGACTCAACAGACTGCCTTTAGTTGATTTACTTAACACTGGAGACAGCTATTGATTTTGGTTAGTGTGACTTAAGTGGGACTGGTGACATTGACAAACCTCTTTCTAATTAAGATTGAACCCCATCCATCGATTTCGCAGTTTGATTTACTTTTGATAAGCCAACTCTGTAGCCTACACATTAAACATCCTGCACTATAATGTGCATTGTATACAGCACCTTAACAAATACACTGTTAATGAATCCCAATACGTTTCTGTGTCTCTGGAGGGTATCGATAATTTATTAACTAACATCACAAATAAGTGACCACTAGCCTAATAAAGACAAACTAATAATCATTCTTATTACTCAACACCATATATGTAGCATCAACACATTAAACACAAACTAAGATTTTACTATTCATCTAATACAGAGGATAACTTAAGTTTGCTGATGTGTTGTTTTGAACAGAGTCCTTCATCCCACAGAAGCTGTCAGCTGTGCTGCTGCTGCTGCTGCTGAATATGAGAAATGCATTTCTGACCTCGTCAGCTCAGCAGAGGAAACGCTTAAGTGCAGTACTTTGACCAGGAGGAAATCGATCTAGTATGCTCTTTAGAAGGGTCATGGATATAATCAATATACAGCAAAAAAATACCATTTGTGAAATGTGAGATTGACGTGAGGTATTATTTTACCTTTGTTCAGGATAGGTTTTTTAATAAAGTATAATAATCACTTGAAGATGTGTTTATTGCCAGTCCATACCACTGTATTCATTTTCGGCTCATACGTCTTTATTTCTTCATGACTGGACTGACTTATAAAAAAAAGTAATTTGATGCCGGGCAGATTTTCTTCATATTAAAAAGCTCAAAACAAAGTGAGTTTCTTAAATAAAGAGCTCTGCATATTAACTGCCCAGAGACCTCTGAGTATTTCCTGCAGCCTCACCAATCTTAAAAGCCATATCTGATATATCAGTGTAGGGGGACAAAATGAAAAACACCATTACATTTTTTTTTGTAAAGGTTATATCAAGACGATGCCCTTGTTATGTTCTTGCTAGCTTACATGACACTATTAGATATTGACTTCAGATGTGAATAAATGGTTTAAAAAGCTGACATTATCTCAGCACTTCACACCAAGTATCTCATCACCAAAAGGTCTCTTTCCATGACTGAACACAAAAGCTCCTGATGATGTAACGTAAAATGTCGGTCTCCCTGCCTCTTATGGCAGAGGCTCTCAGCTTACTGAATACTTCTTCTTCCTGATAACAGCGTGACTCGACTCTGCCTGGCAGCAAAGAGCTTTTTTAAAGTACTTTGGCAGCGCCGCTCTTAAAGGGGCAAAACACTCTTTTTATGGTTTCTCAGACCTACACTCTGAACTACAAATTGAGGTAAGAGGTGAACTACGTTAATGTCCTATGGAAAAATTACTCGCATATGTGCCGCAGTAATAACGTGATCAAAAAACATCAACTATCAGCCTCACATTGAAAACACTTGCCAATTACATAGGCAACTCTATTCATAATAGGCACACCATCAGCATTTAGAAACACATTTATGATCTCTATATCAAACCCAATATGATCAACACATAACAAAAATGTGAGCAAACATGTTCTCACTTAAGCACAGTTCTTGGAAAAATTACTTTCCACTAATGTGTTGGACGATTTATCAGTTTACTATCAGTATAATATCTCTCAGATGTGCCACTGCCAGGCTTATCTTCCACATACAAATCTGCAATTATGTTGTATAATGATTAATCCAGCAAAAGCAGGAAAGCAGAATGTGCTGAAAGAGAAGAGATTGTTCAGTAAATACAGACACATTCACTTTTCCTACATGTAGGAAAGCATTTCACACTTTCCATAACAACAGGGGCATTTTGTGTTGTTTATGGGAAATACCAGTATGCCTCGGTGTTGGCATTTCACTTTGGCTTTAGGTTCTGGCTTGAAGATGAAAGCCTGGCAGGCTCTGAAGTAGCAGGGAGACTCTCTGGTGAATTTATGTGGAAACATTTTTAAACCTCCAGATCTTAAAGATAGAAATAATCTGATAAATCAGACCGAATTAAGGACTCAAACCCTAAACAGATATACCTTCATGTACCTCACCATCCTAAAAGCTTTGACTCGCAGTAAGTCACTCAAGCATTAATTGTTAAAGGTCACATGTCATGGCCATTTCTACTGATCATAATTCCATTGTTGAGGTCTACTAGAATAGATTTACATTGTTCAATGTTCCAAAATCACATTGGTTTCTCATACAGCATCTCTGTATAGTATGTGTATTCACTCTGTCCTAAACGGCTTGTTGGAGCTCCTGCCCCGCCCTCCCTATGAGCCCACTGTGCTCTGATGAGTCCACCACCGTTACAGGTGAACATCAGTGTTTATGTTTTACAATGGCGTTTGTTAGCAACCAGAAAATGACACCAGTAATGACAAACAGATGAGAATGCTGCGTGGGGTCTGGGTGCTGTGCTGGCGGGACTTTGCAGGGCTCGCTGGTCCGCCCTGTGGGGCTTGAGGAGCGGACAGTGAGAGGTGGATTACTGATGTCGTTTCCTGGTTGCTGCGTGGGGTTGCCAGCGGGCACCGCGGAGCGCCGGCACGGCACTTGGTCTATATCCAGCATCCATGGAAACACAGCGGGAAATCCACCTCACACTGTCCGCTCCGGGAGCCTCGCGGGGCGAACTCCTGAGCTGCTCGGGAGTCCACCCTGGCAGAGGGTGTGCCTATTGTTCTATAGCTGTGTGCCAATTAGTCCATTTGGACTTAGTGACGTCAATAGGCCCCGGAAGAAAAAAATGGAAAAATACAAATCTACAACGAGGCGTTCTGGGGCAGCATAGACACGTCTTTTCTGTGTTAGAGTTTTACTCGCTACAGGGTGTACTTTGAAGGTTTGTGACTTAGCAGACCGTTTACATGCAGAAAAAGCTACATAACACACAAGGAACCAGAAAAGCATATGATGGGAACTTTAACTTAACAACATTAGTATTATCAAGCCCCAAATACTCTCCCAAAATACACAAATCTGCACCGACACAAAATAAAGTCAGAGGACTCCAAAGAGGAAAGACCCCCTTTAGCTTCGATCCTGTCGGCATTTAAATACTATTTCTTTCAATATTTCCATTGTAAATGTTTCTTGCCTGTGCACCAATACACCAAGTAAAAATTCCATGTACGTGAAGCCTACTTGGCAATAACCTGGATTCTGGGTCAGATAACAACAAACAGCGAGTGGTGTTGATGCCAGTTACCTGGGGAACAGGTATGACGATGAAAGAGCCGCCGCCAGAACTCTCCGTGACGACTGCCAGGAACTTGGAGTTGACGGCACAGAAGTGGTTGTCATGGACGTTCTTGGTGATGGGGATACCGTCGAAGCAGTGCTCCCGGTTGCCTACTTTTCCGTAGACATTTCGAAACTTGGAGCTTCGGTAGGTTGGACGCCATGACATCTGAAGAAGATAAACAATACGTTTATTTTATTTTATAGAACATCCCGATAGATTACTTAAGGTTGTTGTATAGGCAATTAACAATTATTTGCAGATCTATAAATGTATACTTCATGTCTCATTGTTAAATTGTTAATAATCGGTTGATGAAATGTTGAAAAATGGCCATCAAAATTTCCCACAGTGATATTTTACTCGTTTTGTCTGATCCCGAAACCCAAAACTATTCAATTCATCACCTGTTATTTTGAATGTTCAGTAAATATGCTTGCTTGGCAAAATACTTTAAGGATAACAACTTTGACCTCGATTTGGCATCCAGTAAATTGGTGTGGACATTGTATCAATGTTGTTGTATATTTTAGATGACAACCCTGCTTTTTACAATTTTTCCAGTAACATTTTAGTGTAGGCAGAGGAGAAGAACATTTGGCGAAGTTAGTACTAACATAATAAAATGTAATTACACTGCCAGCGAAAGTTATCTTCATCCTTCATGTATTATTGACAGGATGTGATGATTATAATGCAGACAGCATCAATAAATCCTAATGTCAAGTTCCCATCTAGCAAACCCACAGTAGCGGGGTGGGCTGTCCCATCTGTGCAGACATTTCACACATTCACTTGTGGAAAATCGTCCAAATTAGTCATGGATGTGAGGCTTTTGAAGGGTGAAAAGTGTTCAAATTGCCCACGATTAGTGTGCCAAGAAGGGATAGCAATAGAATATGAAAGACATTTCTTAAGAATAATATAATTACAGGAAAAGACAGCTGGTTAAACCAATATGAAATATTGCAGTATGTCCTGTAGTTAGTAACTCTATTTTGGATCTCATACAACAAAAAAGCAGCCTTTGTTTGCAGCCACTGCACACAACAAAAGAGGAGAAGTGGTTTCATTTGACTCAAGAAGCTTCTTTTGTCTGTCTCTCCACCACAAGAATGCATTGACGGAGCTTCATTTTTTGGCGTGAGCTGACTCTGTACAACGATTTAAAGGTTGACAAAAGATGCCTGTGTCTTTCTAATGAATGTGGCAACACTGGGAAATATTCTGAAACTGGATCTGTTCATTAGTATAAATCCCAGTGATATCGGTTCGCAACAGGAACTGGCGGGACAGGATTTAGGACTCTTGTCAGATCACTAGCAGCGTTGCCGGATGACATCAGGCAATCCTCTATTCAGCATTGTTCTTGGGATGTAGAGGGAAACTGGTGGGAGTGGTGTACACATGCAAATAGAAACATCCTCAGACCATGCGGCTGCTATTGTCTTTCCCCGTCCCTTTCGGTCTTGAACCAGACTGGAGAAATGGCATCCAGTAGTAGGCAACAATACTGTGGCTGATCACTTTGCCCTCACCCCAGCCTTCAAATGTTGCAGCCGTGGTGACATGGCAGGAGTAATACAGTTACTATGCAATTACAGTGTCAGCACATTGTTGTTATTTTTAAACCCTACGTATGATGCTGAAACTGTTTCCAAATTCGATTTCAGAGGGAAATGTAATGTTATCTCAACTCCATTTTATTTCTCCAACAGCAATTAAGTACTTACTCTTTCAGATCAAGAATTTAAATAATTTATGAAGAATAACTATGTATTGTAACAGAGTTACTATTTGTCCAGAATCAAAATCTAAAGAACTGAAGCAATGACGCAAATCACAAAGGAAAATAAGTCCATTGGTAATACAGATGTTTCTGTTTTTTTGTGGTTTATTTACCCTAAGGAAGCAAACAAAGAACAAAGAAATCATGGCTCCTCCTGTCTCTCTTGCTCTGAAAAAAACAAAAAATATAGACTCTCAAAGGTGCATGCTGGTCCTATACCTGCCTCAAGTCCAGCTAAACTAAAAACAATAAAATGATAATAATGTCTAATGAAGAAAATACCGGAAATAAATCCAACAGTCAAAACAATCTGAAAGAAGCCAGTTTGTATAATAATTAATTTACTTGTTAACTTGTAATGGAGTACGTTAGTTTGACATACATTGAAGTACTGCACATTTTACTTAAGTAAAGGATCAAAGTATCTAACCTCTCATTAAATGTATTTGCTTTTTGTCCCTTTTTTATTTTATATTATTGAATATATTTGGTTTCAGACTGCTGGTCACAAACATTCTACAGCGCGCAGCATACTGTAAGAACATCTCACTCTCATCCCATTCAAACGCAGATTGACTACTCCAGAACCACGGCTGTGTGGGCAGCATAATAGCAGCTTGTTAAAGAATTAATGTAGAACAGAAGAGCAGCAGAAAGCGGCCTGCGGGACGGTTAGAGGAGACTTGCCTGCTTTGAGCTCTCTTTACAAGGATACTCATTCATTGGTCACTGGGGTATGGCACAGAGAGGATATCTGTGTGTGTCCGGGTCTTTCTAGTCTCACGAGGTTTCACAGTATAAAAACACACACACACACACACACAAACAAACAGATGACGAGCAGGGGTGTGCAAACATTCACAAAACACAATCAGAGAAAAATAAATGACTTGGTATTCATTGAGGCAAATCACAAGACCTGCTGGTTGAGAGCATGATTCCCCTCAGGGTTAAACTTTGTAAGGTCAATTTCATTTGGGCATATTCTCAAATGTTTATGCCAAGTCGGACACATTACAAACATAACTGGATACCTGACAAACGTTCTCATAACAACCACCCTGAAAATGCCAGCTTACCTTCCCAGTGTCCTTTGAGGGACACTAGTCACAGACTTGCCTTCTCACACTGCAAACATCCACACTCCTTTCTCAGCGAGCTGCAAGAATCTCCTCTCTTCCTTCCTTCCCTTTCAAATCCAAGCAGCCAGTCTGTCTCTGATTCTCTCATGTTTTTCCTCCCCACTCCCCTTTAAACTCTCTCTTCTCCTCCTACTTGTACTGATAGCTGCAGGGCTAGCACTCCCCCCTTCCCTGCTCTCACCCTTCTCTCCCATCCTGCCACTCAGTCAGCCCTCTGTCTCTGTCTCTTTTAAAGTTCAGGCTCCAGCCCAGCCAGAAGTAGCTATTCAGCCTCTCTCCTATCACCACCTCTATGGAATCACAAGGCCTTTCTAAGCTGATTTGCTAAAACTCCCAGCTGTTTTCAGTCCTCTCTTCATCCTCCCCTCTTATAATCTCTTATCTCTACTCTCATCCTTCCGTCCTCAGGAAACCTGCCAAGGTTTTGTAATGACAGGTGGACACCAGAAAGAATGACAGCAACTGTGGCTCTTGTTAGCAACTACATCACTGCCAAAAACAGGGTGATTACATGTAGTTATAGTACAATGAAACAAAGACCTTCACACTCTCGCTTATAAAAAAAGTTGAAACATTAATAAAGAAGGAATGTGGAAAACATATTTTCAATAAGGAATTGTACAATATACAGTTGTCTCAAAGCTGAAATAAAATGTCATCAAATTCTCAGTGTCTGCATACAGTGGCTTACTGTACATTAGCTATATTCAGAAATCTAATATCTTGTCTTTGAAGTTTTCTTTTTCTTTTTTGTGTAATTTAATGGAAACCTGACAATAGCTGATTGGACAAATAATAATTCTCCCAACTCCCAATCCGAACAATTCAAATACTGTAGTATAAAAGCATGTATACATTTGCCCGGCATTTCATTTCAGAAATGTAACTGCTCAACTAAAATGATTGTTAGATATCATAATCATATAACGTTAAAAAACAGGGGTCATAATTTGTATTTTGTTTCCACATTTGGTTCTAAGTGAGAAAAAAGGCAGATTTCTTACACTTCATCCAATAAAACATGGCTGGGGTTTCATTTTTTCTTATACATTATAACTACTTGTTCCTGCTCTTACAAAAGTATCCTAAAAACAAACAAATAAAGTGTTTCTATAAATATAAGAACATAAGAGCTGTGTGAATTAAGTTTAATGTATTTATGGTTAGTTTGACCATCAGTGTTCATTTATATTTAAATAAATGACTCCAATACAATAACTACATTTTATCTATGAAAAAGAAACACTGGGCTTCTTTGCCAGGAATATGAGAGATTTTTAAGGACAGCCAGTACTAAACTTGAGTTTTAAATCCATTCATATGTACAGTATATTTACAGATTAAATTGAGGCAGAGATCATTGTATGAGTGACTCCAGCTCCTAAATCACAGCTTTTTCCTCAACAGAAACGCCCTGAAGTATCTGCTCTTCCCTGCTTACTATTTCTGAAACGACCAGATCGATTCACTGAGGCAACTGCAGCAGGTGTTGTAGTGAAAATGGCCTCCCCTGATGTTTGTCTGTGTGAAAATAGGTGGAGGCCCTGCAGGTTCACTATGAAGGGGGTTTGCCTTGGCCTCTTGGCTCGGTGTGTATGTGTGTCTCTGTGTGTAGTATGCTAGTCTTTATGATGTGGTGTACATGTGAGTCTGTTTATGTGCCTGTGTCCATGTCTGACCATGTGTTGTCTGTTTGCAGCAGTATACATTTACTGTGGTGTTCATGGCTGCCAGGCAGACCACTCCAGAGACCAGAGTGTGTTTATTGAGCTTTTCTTTGTCTTGCTTCAAGACACTGCTGCTGCTCTGTGCACACTCAATCTTCCCCTTTGAGGTTTAAACCCTCTTTCCGATATCCTAAAGGCAACAAATGGTTGTGTCTCGGTTACAAAAATCACCAAAATATGAAACTTATTGTCGAACAGCAACAAACAACAATCCAAAATACTTTGCTTTGCTTCTCCATCATCCCAGCTGCAGTCCAACATCCATTTTCTTCTCAAACCATAATCAGTCAATGGCAGCATACTGGCGCATTACAACCAATAAAAGACCATTCAGACTCCACCAAATCAAATCAATGGCTTAGATTATTCTAATCAAGAGTTTCTCAATGTTGGTGCCAAATAAGGAAGTAGAGCTATTTGAGCTGGTACTCAATAGATACAAAAGGGAAATCTGCAGGGCGGCTGCATGTCTTGTCACTCAGACATGGTGAAGTCCTGTCAAGCCACCAT